TTTTACCTAATCTTGATAAATGCATTTGATACTTCTGCATTAGTGAACATGCAATTGGGTTTGTCTTTCTCATAATCTGATCCGAGTTAATTGGGAAGCGAGGTTACCCCCACTGTCACCTTTACTCAGTCTCGTCTTCTGTTTGTGATTTGTAACTGGTTCCTTATACTTGCTCCTGTTATTTGTTGGTCATTTCGAGAAGCGAGGTTGCCCCACTAACTATTAACAATGTGTCATATCTGAGGAATTACATATGTATACTATATATTCAAAACTTAAACTCCACTTTATAGTGTCAGCAAGAAGAAAAAAACGTGATGAAAACCTATACCTGTCATAATCATGTGCAAGCCCGGGCTTATTGGCTTACATGGTAGCTACGCGCCTGGCCGTACGGAAGTACATTTTTTTTTTGATATTTTCATTTTTCTCTAACTGATTTTTTTTTCCATGTAGTACATGCGCTTGGTTATTTGTCCTGATCTTCAAAATAAAGCATCAGTTCATTGGTACTGATAAGTCCGTACATACGTATTTTGCATTGAAAAATGCCGATTTGACGTTCACAACATGTTGTGACGCGACTGTGACATCACTGTTCTTCATCTTCATCTTATAAACTTCCTCCGTCCTTGTGCTGTAGTGCATTAATTATTATGTACAGTGTTTTTCACAGTGTTTTTGAGCTTGTCCGTCCGTCGTTCGTCCGTCTGTCAATTTTTCCTTTAAAACGGTACTTGTCCTGAACGGCCAAGTAGATTTTGACCAAATTTGGTCAGAAGCATCCTTGGGGGAAGGGGAAAACATTTTGTATCTATTTAATATATTCAAGTTTTGGGTGCTTACGTACTCATTATTCACTCTTTTATTACTTTGAGGTAACTACCACCAAGGAACCCTGGATCACTGAACACCTACAAAGTAATAAGTACTAATTATATAAATAGCTCCCATATTTGTCTATATATCAGTGTCATCTAGTCTATGAGAATGCCAAAAAATAGACTAAATCTGTATAAACCGGCAGTTCACACATATTTTTTTCTTATATCCATGCAACTATTTTAATTATCATTTGTATATAGAAAAAAATATTTTAAAACACTTAAGAACCACTTGTATGTGTGTAATAAGAGGATACTTAACACTCTCCATACAGAGCCAGCAAAATCCTGGATTTGAGGTTATTATATAGGTTCAGTGTTGTTAGTGTTGTGTCCCCTTTTTTTGCTTATCTGGTCCTAAGGAAAGACCTGTGAGCTAAATATGCTGTACTGTGGCATCCGTCTGTCCGTCCATCAACAATTTCTTTTTTAAAACATTTTAGCAAGTATTCAAAACTGGTGAGGATTCACAAAAATTGTACAAATAGTGCAGCTAAACACTCAGGGGATGGAGTGTAGGGGCAAAAATGGGGTTACTATTGCCATATTGCTTAAATATCTTCTCTTGTAAAATTATGAGGAGGATAATGGGATAGCATCCATATTTGCTTGGAAGCATTGTGATGAAAGGGGAGTTCAAAATTGTACAAATAGAGGGGCCAAAATCCCCATAAAAACTCCACATGGCTGAATGGTGTTTATATTTAAATTCTAAGACTGAGTGTTTAACTGAATTCTTCTTTGGATCTTGGACAGTTATTTAATGTATATATATATA